GTGGTTATTGGGTGGAAGCTCAAGGGACTGCAAAAGATCCGGATGAACTGGTGTTATTTCCCTGCACTACGATTTTTTCCAATATAAAGGAACCGCCTGAATTGGAGCTGGAAGGGGTGGTAGAAGAACAGGAGCCTTCTCCTCCAGAGCATCGTCTCAAGGGGAAAAAACCGGCGCTTCGGTTCGCTGATGAGGAAGGTCCTCCTTTACCTCCGCCTCGCGATCCTCCAGTTCGTCATCGGTTAAATGAAAAAAGCCCGGCCTCTTCACTGCGTGGTCATGTGGGCTCCTTGCGCTTGCTTCGCAAGCGGGGGGAGAGTCCGCCCTTAGAAATTTTCGAGGATGACATGCAGGGTCTGGGGGAGCTGGAAGAAAATGCAGATGTTGAGGACAATGTTCCTGGTGATGAGTATTGGCCGACTTGCTGTTCTCCTCATGAAAATGCTTATTTGGTCTGCAAAAGTGAGACTGCTGAGGATGGAACACAGTTGGAAAAAGAAGAGCAAAAAGCCAAGTCAATGTATGAAAGGTCTATGTATGATTACGTGGACTGTGAGGAGCTTTTGGAAGGGATTGTATACCCAAAGAGGGTGAATCGAAGAGGTGGTATCAACAATTGGTGTACAAGTACGCGAGCTCTGGTGTTGGGCCACTATACTCATGGCGGAGTGTGTGGTATCACAAAAGAGACTCATCGAAGACCATGGCTATGTCGTTATTTGGCATCATTCGTGAGGCACCACAATCCTGAAGCCAAATTTTCTGCTCTTCAGATCTCGTGCAATGCTCCGGTGTCATTGCATAGGGATAGTCACAATGAAAAACATTGCTGCAATTCTGTGTGTGGCTTTGGTGACTATAAAGATGGTCAGCTGTGGGTTGAGGATGAAAAGGTTTTAGAGGAAGGAGCTGAAGTGGTGGAGCAATCTTATGGGAAGAAAGTCCTACCTGGAAAATTGGTGGATATCCACTGGAACTTCATGTCGTTCTTTCCGAGGAAGCTGCATGGCCCTATGCCTTGGAAAGGAAACAGGGTATCCTTGACAGGGTACACACCTGTTTTTATGGAGCGTTTGAGCTACAAGGATAGGTGCTATCTTCTCCAATGCAAGTTTCCTCTTCCGGAACCACAGGCTGAAGAAGGTGGAAAAAAGAAGTGGTTAAAAATGACGTTGAAAGAGACCTCGCTGGACGACCTTGCAGAAGAAGTCGACTACGCTGTGTTCGAAGCGCATCAATGGGCTCTAGAAGAGCATTTGAGTATTCGACGCCTAATTGCTGAACAGGAATGTTGCATCTTGGACGAGTTCCATGGATCGGCCAATGAGTCGAGTGAAGAAAAAGGATCAGAGACTAGAGAATGGCTGGTTAAAGCAAAAAGGGCTGAGGAACAGCTATCGAAGTTTTTGGTCAAAGCAGCTCAAGTTCAGCAAATGGTACAAGAAAATACCGCGCTTGAGGCAGCAGAGGAGGTTGAGTTCCTGCAAACAAAAACAATCCCTACACAAGAAGCCATGCAAGAGCTGGAAAAGTGGAGGGAATCATTGTCGGACGAGGTGACGTCTTTGGTGAAAGAGTTGGAGGTGGTGGAACCAACAACTCAAGAAAAGCTGGACAAATTGGCGGAAGAGCCTAATGCACCGGTGATTGAGTACGTTCCCAGTCTGGTGGTGTTTACCCGGAAGCAAGGGACAGGGAGGCGACGTGCCCGTATCTGTGCATGTGGAAACTTCATTTCGTCAACGGCAGCTACAGAATATGAAGGGCCGAGGTCACTCAGTCGTCACTCGCTGTACGCTCCAGGTTTAGATTCAACTACATTCAGGTGTCAAGTGAGGCACGCAGCATATATGGTGTGGATCATCGCTGGCTTAGACATTTCCAAAGCTTTTCTGACGGCGCCGATGAATAGGGCGCAAAGAGAAGGGCGTTTGGTGGTGGTGCAGCCCCCAAGGGCGGCGGTGAAATTGGGTCTTTGCACAAAGGAGGAGCGGTGGATTGTGAGGAAGGCCTTGTACGGTTTGGCCGAAAGTCCTGCAGCATGGGTGGAGTGGCGAGACCAACGTCTTCAAGGGATGTCTTGGGTGTCAAAGGATGGACAAGCAATGAGCTTTCAGAGGTCCAATGCAGACCCAAGTCTGTTCCTTATTATGGCGCAAGAGAAGCTGGAAGGTGCAAGCAAGTTGGTAGGGACAATGGGTCTTTACGTGGATGATTTTTTGATGGCTGGGACTATGACAGTGCTCCGGGAGGCCTTGGAACAGATTAGGAAGGAGTGGAAAACTTCTGAACCCGAGTTCTGTGGTCCAGGCTGCGGTGATGGATTCCTGAAGTTTTTAGGTGTCCAAATCTGGTATCGAAATGGCAGCTTCTTTCTCAACCAGGAGGACTTTGTGAGAGATTTGCTGAACCGACGAGGGTATCAGATCGATGAAACTGGAAAAGGGAGTAACCTGCCAATGGTGAAAGAAACTCCAGGTGAAGAAGAGGAGGTGGATATTCCTTCCTTGCGAGCGGCTCAAGGTGCCGTAGGGGAGTTCCTCTGGGTGGCAATCAAAACTCGACCTGATTTGGCGTTCTGCACGAGCCAGTTGTCTTTGTGGACATCCCGAAGGCCGCGATTTGTGGTTAAAAAGGCTGAGGAGGTTTTCCGATACCTTGCTGCAACTCCAACGTTAGGCTTGACGTTCGGAGCAATCGCAACATGCGAAAAAGAAAGAAATGAGGTGTTGCGTTATGGACGAGGCGTTAAGGTGGTGGAGTCCTACGCGGATGCCAGCTTTGCAGCAGGTGAAAACGAAAAGAGCCACTCAGGAGCGGTGGTGGTGTGGGGTGACTGTCCAGTGATGTGGGCAACACAAAGACAATCAACGGTGGCTTTAAGTACAGCTGAAGCTGAATTACATGCGTCCATAGAGGGAGCAACGATGATTCAGTCGTGCACCCCTATAATTGCCGCTTTGGTTGGAACAGGTGAAGAATCGCTGCAAAAAGTGCTGTATACAGATTCGGTTTCAACGTGCTCGATCATTCAATATCCTGCTGGAAGCTGGAGGACAAGACACCTGAGAATTCGAGCAGCCGGTGTCAGGTCTCTGGTGGACCGTGGTTATATGGTGATAGCGCATCTTCGCGGTGAGTATATGATCGCTGACCTGTTGACTAAGTTGATGAGTGGACAGGTGTACGCAAAGCAAAAGGCACTTTGGGGTCTCCGACTGTTGGTACAAGGGACTGACTTGAAAAAAGCCTCGCTTGCAATGGCGGTCATGATGGTGGCTGCATCTCTGCAAGGGATGGCAACTGGTGGCGAAGAAGTGTCCACGGCTGGATTCTTTTGCTCAGAAGAAGGGGTGTGCAAGGTCGCCAACACGTCTACGGTGATGGTTCTGGCTCAAGGTATTGAAATGGTTGTCAACAATTCAGACCTTGTTGCATATTTGGTGGCAGCAATTATACTCTGGGAACTGGCATGGTGCCTCTTTCGACGGCTGTATAAATGGCTGTGGATAAAGAAAGCGGTGGTTATTCCTGCGAGTGCCACTTTGTATACAGCAGTGGGTGGGAACTGTATGCACGCAAGCAGTGACTGTGATGTTCTGCGATATTCACAACCCAGGGCTAAAACGCTTTGTAAGCATTGCCTCAAGGATGGCTGGGTGGTGAATGCTGAGTTCCTTGGTGAGGAACGGGCCGCTGGAACGTGAATTTTCCAAGTGCAAGGTGAAGAAATCCTCAATGGTAAAGGATTCAGCCAATGAGCTGAAGGTTCGTCCTGGATGACGTTAAACCATAATGTGCATTTCAAGCAGCTGGCTGCTGCCTAAATGGCGGTTTTTGGCCAAAGATCTGCACCTCCAATGTGTCCTAGGAAATCCTAGGACAGGGGGAGTGCGGAGCTGCAATTGGTATTGTAGAAAGGAGTTGGTATTGGAAGTTGAAGGGTCAATGAACCCGGTAATCTTTGGCTCAAGCCATGACCGCAGCGGTCAAAGGTTTCGTAAAAAGTGTGCCCTTGGTTTGGGGTCTTGTTGTTCGGTTGTTGGTTGTTCCAGGGGTATTAAGGGCTTCTGTTGGGGCTGACTGTTTTGTTCCCTGTCCTCCTTCGGTTGCCCCCCGTATAGGGTTTATGGTTTAGGGTTTAGGGCAGCCTTTGGGGGCATATGGGGCATTTGATGGGTTGCAGGGTTGGAGGGATCTAGGGCTTTCTTATTGTGGCTTGGAGGGCTTCATGGTTTTTAGGGGTTGGAGGGTTTTGGGGCTTTCTGGCCCCTTTGAGGTTTTGGGGTTGGAGGGCTTTTGGGTTTTTATAGGGTTGGCGGAATTTGGGGCTGTAGGGCAGTAGGGTTTGGGGGTTTTAGGTCTAGGATTTAGGAGTGTTCTGGGATGGTGAGAGAGAAAGTCTGTGAGGGTCCAACAGTTGCCTTCATTCCATTTGTTTGCCTGATGTGCTCGCGAATGGCACCGCCAATGTTGAGAAAGCCAGCGAGCAGTTGACCACCAAGCTAAGCTACTCTGAGGTCGGTCCCGAAACCCCAAGCCCCTATTGACTCCCCAAGTCCACGTGAACCCTAAACCCTAAACCTTAAACCCTAAACCCTAAACCCTAAACCCTAAACCCTAAACCCTAAACCCTAAACCCTAAACCCTAAATTTCAACATCCCCGAACATCGCCGAACCACCATCCCGGTTTGTTTAGCTGATGACGCTCCACCCAAACCCGTTCTTGACAAGCTTCTTTGCGCTTCTGGTCCTGTGACGCCTTATTCACATGCGGGAGTAGAAATCCTAATTGAAGCTTTGGGGAATATACTAGCACGTCCTTCGCAGGTTTTAGAGTGTGAGGCAGGGTTTAGAGGGTTAGGGTGTAGGGTTCCTAAACCCTAAACCCAAAACCCTGAACCCTAAACCCTGAACCCTAAACCCTAAACCCTAAACCCTAAACCCTTCAACAATTTGAAAGAACACCCAAAAGCCCTAGACCCTGAGCCGCTGAAAGGCTGATGGCTTGGGACCGCCGCAGCGGGCAGCCAGTGCTTGGGGCTTAGGGACGTGGCTGTTAGGCGCTTTTGGAGGCTCCCCCCCGAAACTTCGTCGTGGCAGCAGCAGTCGCAGTTACAGGCACAACCGACGCAAGAAGAATAGTAGAATCCATCTTCTGGCCGGTCTTTAAGCCCCTAGACTCCTCAAAACTTGGGATGTTCCCCCTTAGACCAACAGTCCTTAATAGGGATTGCAATAAGGGGTACTAGAATCCCTATTAAGGAGCTGTGAGTATAAGGGGGAACATCCCAACCGTCGGCTCTCCCCGAGGCTGGATCGTGAGTTGGACGGAGTTGCGATTGCCTGCGCGCTGTCGGACGCGACCTCCTCAGCCTCGGGACCCTCGGCTTGGGTTTCGGGTGTCGGGTCTAGGGTTTGGGGTTCAAGGGCTTCCCAAAAGCCTATTCCCCTACACCTCCCTAAGCTTTGTCCCTAAGCCCCGAACCCCTAAACCTCCGTATAATAAATAAACAAAATATAAATACATATATATATATATATGTATATATAAATAGAAATATAATCTATCTAGAAATATAATCTATCTATCTATCTATCTATCAGATATGTGTGTTGTTGGTCTGCTGGGAACTCGAAGATGTTGCCAGTAGTGTTTGCCTCCCGAAGCCCCAAAACAGCTAACCCTCCTAAATCCTAAAACCCACCTAAACCCCTAAGCCTCCCAAGGCCCCTAACTTCAAACCTCTAGACCCTGAACCCCAAACCCTAAATTACACCCAGGCCTGCGTAAGCCGTACCAACCCTTTTCTAGGGTGCCTGGGCCCAGAACTTCATCCTGCAGCGATTCACACCATCGCTTTGAGCTACTATGCCAGCCTAACAAGGTTGCGTAAGCGTAAGCTGCACCTGCACCTCCAGTGCCGGTGCAGTAACCCGTGGGGTACCCCGTCTCCCTTCTGTGATTCACATGAACTATAAAGAAACCCTAAGCCTAAGCCGAACGACCTGATACGCTTGACCCAAACATGTCTCCTGGGTTTGCTGGGCATTGTACGAAACCCCTCTACTAAACCTCTACTCAACCCTTTACTACACCCTCTACTGAGCTCTGCTAAATCGACTAAGCTCTACAAAACCGTTTCCGAAGCGAAAAACCTTCTTGTCGGAGAAAAGTTGAGTGGATGCTTGCGCAAGCAGGGGTAGAATGAACCGACTCGCCGTTTCTGGTTGTTGGAATCCACAGTCGAGAATATGCCGACACGAGATACGCCGCCCCACCCCCTTCCCCCCACACACCCCTGGGCGTGTTGGGGCGCCATCTAAGCCCTACGCCTGAACCCCTTAATATAGGGGTCGGAATAATTACTACTAGTATTCCCTTGTGGTTCCTTCGTAATTAAATATACTATAATGACCCCTAAGGCCTTATTCTAATTCTTCGGGCCCCTATAAACCCCAAACCCCAAACCCCAAACCCCAAACCCCAAACCCCAAACCCCAAACCCCAAACCCCAAACCTTAAACCCCAAACCCCAAACCCCAAACCGCAAACCCCAAACCCCAAACCCCAAACCCCAAACCTCAAACCCTAAACCCTAAACCCTAAACCCTAAACCCTAAACCCTAAACCCTAAACCCTAACCCCAGGCTGCACCTACGCGGCCGCCCTGGACGACCGTGGGGAGCTCCGCCTCTGGGCTCCTTGTCCGCGCCAACGAAGCAGCCGGCCTTCTCAGGGTTTGAGGTTTAGAGTTCAGGGTTTCGAGTTTCGGGTCTAGGGTTTCGGTTCGGGGCTTGGGGTTTAGGGTTTAGTGCTTTCGGGTTAGGGTTTAGGCTTTCGGGTTAGGGTTTAGGGTTTAGGGTTTAGGGTTTAGGGTTTAGGGTTTAGGGTTTAGGGTTTAGGGTTTAGGGTTTAGGGTTTAGGGTTTAGGGTTTAGGGTTTAGGGTTTAGGGTTTAGGGCTTCGGGTTGGGGATGTAATGCTTAGGATTTAGGTCTAGTCTTTCAGAGAGGGACTGAAAGGGCTTCAGACCCTTTAAGGGATACATCCCAAATCATACTAAGGACCCCTAAGTGAGCGTGTGTGACATGAAGACAGCAGTGCTTTAGTGCTTGGGCAGCTTAGCGAAGCTCTTCATCTTTGCGAAAGAATCCTGCGCGCAGCTTGCGCTCCAGTCAGAACGAACACTGCAGGCACTGTGTGTGCTTCTCAAGTGTGTGGGACACTCAACACCATTTTGAGAAGAGGCTCCTTTCGCAGGAGACATCATCTTCAGGCCGCGTCTTCGGTATTTCGTTTCTCAAGGCCCCCAAGCCTTACTCAACCAGCCCAAACTCCTCTATTTGAGGAGTCTGCCTTTCGAACTCTATGAGACCCTCCGCATGTTCCTTATTGAAGGGGGTGGTGGGCTCTATGAGCGCAAGGCCCCCCCCTAAACCCCAAAGCCCAAACCCGAAACCCGAAACCCGAAGCCCTAATCCCTAATCCCTAAACCCTAGACCCTAAACCCTGAACCCTAAACCCTAAGCCCTAAACCCTAAACCGCTCAGGACTTGCGCCAGTGCAGTGAGAGCCTTCGCCTGGGCACGGCGGGTTCCGGGCTCCTCTCTGCTGGCTGCTTCCTCACGGACAACGGGCCTTTGGGGGGGTTTTAGGGTTTACTGTTGGGATTCAGGATTCAGGGTTTGGGGGCCCTTGGTGTTTTGGCTTGGTATTGTTTTGAGACTTTTGAGGGATCTAGGGTTTTCAAAAGTGCCGGAGTATGCCAGCTAAGGTTGAAGCAGGTTGTGCACCTGGTAAATGCTGACGGTTCAGGGTGGGTTCAGGACTTGGCTGTCGAGCTTATCGAACTTAGGGCGTGCCGTGGCTTTCACAAGATTGAACCCCAAACCCCAAACCCCAAACCCCAAACCCCAAACCCCAAACCCCAAACCCCAAACCCCAAACCCTAAACCCCAAACCCCAAACCCCTAACCCTAAACCCTAAACCCTAAACCCCCCAAAGCAAGGACTTCAGTGCCTGGGCCATACTGGGCGGGGTGGCGCCCAGTGGACATCCAGCCTTGGTTCTATGGGACATCCCGCAGCAACGGGAGGCGCTGTAGGGCTCAGGGCTTTGAAGGGTTCAGGGGCTTGGGGTTTAGGGTTTGGGGTTTGGGGTTTCGGGTTTAGGGTTTAGGGCTGGCTTGGGGTTTAGGGTTCAGGGCTTAGGTTTAGGGTTCAGGACCCACTTGGAGGTTGATGGGTAGTCATAAGTAGGGCTCAACGTACCTTAGATGGGGTTATTGTGAGTATAGCTTCCGTACTTTATTGATGAGCCTCCAAGTAGGGCCTTCAAGGTTCCGGACCTCGAATCCAAGTTGAAGAGCTGTGGGACCCCTTTTGGGGTTTATGGGGTTTAGGGTTAAGGGTTTAGGGGGTTTTCTGGGGGGAATTAGTGGAGAAGTCTGCGTCAACTCCTGGTGTTGTGGTTGCAAACCCGGGAGCTCGGAAACCAGGCTCGGAAACCTTGAGCCTTTTGTTTTTTTTTCATGCTCTTACCAGAATCTATACGGGGTCTCAGCCGACGCCTGCTATAGGGTTTAGCGTGGGGGGTTTAGGGCTCATGGGCCCCGAAGCCCTACACCCCAAGCATGGCTGTGGACGTTTTCTCCAGGTTCACTCCTGGGTCCTCGAGGAGCTCGATGGAGGAGCCCTGAGTTCAACCTTAAACCCTAAACCCGAAACCCTAAACCCTAAACCCGAAACCCTAAACCCGAAACCCTAAACCCTAAACCCTAAACCCCAAACCCTAAACCCTAAATCAGGGGGCGCCTCCGACATCACGTACCTCCTGAAGCCACCGGGCACGGGCGAGGCCGCCTGGCGAAGCGACGTCCCGCTCCTGTGCGCCAATGCCTCCGGGCGGGTGTACGCGCTGGCGCCTGGATGAAGGCCGAAGGCCTCCCGGTCCTCCCGCCTCATGGCCACTTTGAGGGTCTACGAGTGCCACACGACGGCAGCCTTACAGCGACCTCTTGGAGGCCTCTACGCAGAACGAAGCCAACGAAGCTCCAGCTCCCTTTGGGGCTGCTCCGGGCCGGAACGGGAAGACTCGACGACCTGGTCACGGATCCTGGCGCGGCGCACAGGCCGAGCGGGCCGCCTCCTCGGTGCTTCCAAAAAAAGGCTGAGTCTCTTTTTGAACCATCGGCAGTCCTGCTCATCTCATGTTTCAGGCATCTTGTTGATTTTGTGGCTGGCATGCCTTGCTGCCTTCTCCTCATTCCTCTGTGCGATTTGCTGGTTCATCCTGAGAGACCTGGCAGGCTTCCAGCCGTGCTGCACTTAGTTCATGCGCTCGGTCAGCACGTGCGCTCTGCGCAACCGCCTCAAAGTCCCCAAAGACTCCAATACCCCTGAATAAAGGAAGGTTCCTTAAACCTTAAAAAGAGCCCGAATATCCTTTAAGGAATCTTCCTTAGTTTAGGGGGTATTGGAGTCTCAGGATCCATCCCATGTTCCGAGAGAGACAAGCTCAATCCAAGGCGGGACCCAGAGGATCGGCACGAAGAAGCAGGTCGTTCCCGTAACCTGGTCTCGCCCTGGTCCCAGTGATGGGCCGCTCCAGAAGATTCGTAGTTGGGTGCTTCAGGGAAGTCTGTCTAAGTGCGTATATGTATGTATGTATGTATGTATGTATGTATGTATGTATGTATGTATGTAGGTACTGTGGATGGAGGAAATCTTGCACCACCTTCAAGGGTGCATAACATTCTCTCCCCTCGCCCCCCTTTTGGCATTGCGGTGAAAAGCAGATTTTCAAGATTAGGCCCAATGACATAAATCCTGCACCGCTTCCATCGTGACAAGCACCAATGTTAAAAAGGGGGTGCGGGGTTGTCATCAGACTCGTTTTGGAGTAGATCAAGTCGGCGGTGCAAGATTTCCCCCATCCACCGTAGGTATGTATGTATGTATGTAGGTATATATGACAGACATCGCACTACAGGCCCCAGTTTTTGACATTGGAACAATTCGTGCTTTCTTGAAGGTACCTCGGCAGGTTAAGGTCTTGACACATAAGCGACATGCTCCCAATTCAGGCATAGCAAACGACTTAGTAGACAAATGGTGCTTATGTAGATGCAGTCCCTGGGGAGGGGGAAACAAAAAGAATGTTTTGTTGTCTTGTCCTCCCCGCCAGGAACTCCTGTGTCCCCTAGCACTCCCCGACAGAAACATACATATATAGATCTACTATATACTACACCTACATGTATATCTCTCTCTATATATATATATACGCATATATGTGTATCACATAATACATATATGTATATTTTCATAGTGTATATACACATGGGGGCCAGAAGTGGGGACTCCAAAACTGTAGTTGACCCAAACGGAAGAAGTGTGGATCCGCTGTATCCATAGAGTATCCGTGCACCCAAAAACCTTCCGTTTAGGCCAACTACGTTTTGAAGTCCCCTCCTTATGGCACATGCATGGTGATATACATGCATATATATATATATACACGTTGAAACAGTGGATAGTATACATTTATGTATGTATATATGTATACATACATATGCATATATATATATATATATATTAGCAACCTTAGAACACTGGAAAGTGGAATGCTGGACTCTAAATTTTTCTGGATCTTATGTGGTGCGGTAAAGATGGTATGTTGGGCCCCGCATGAAGAATCTTAACGACACTTACTATCTCTTAAACATTCTTATGTCAATGATGCGAGCGCCAGCATTGCTAATCTTGCCAATGCTGCTCTAACAATGTGGGGTGGGGAGCTACTTGAAAAGGGACAACTCTAGAGTAAAAAGGACTATAACTTCAATTTTTAGATAGAGAATCCTTCAAACTCTAGGCTTTAAAGTCTAGGCCCTAGGCCTCGGAATTTCCTGAAATGACAAAGCCTTCTGCTATCTGCTCACAGTATTCCGCCTGCAACGGCTCCCTATCTAGGTAGCCTCGTGTAGTCCCGCATACAGGCAGTCACCGACATATGGGGGTTTCCGGAATTCGGGTAAATTGGAGGTACCTTTTTGGGGTTCTTATTGTAAGGGAATCCTACTGTTTGGGGTTCTGTTGTAGGGGGTCCCTTATTGTAAACTCCCATATATATATATATGTATGGTAGCATATATATATATATATATATAGATACATACATACATACATATATATATATAGGTGGAGATATAGCGTATCATTGTTCTACTCGTGTTTGCGTTTTCATATGAGAGAAGCCCTACAAAAAAGAGGCATTGCCTTGCATAAAAGCTCGTTTTTTGTGAATGACTTCCTGCCAGTATTAGTAAACTATGAGAAGATTGAATCGAGTTCTTCACAAGAAACTGCATGTAACACGGGCTGTGAATGTGGTGCGTGTTCTCAAGCTTTGGGGCTGAGTACCCCATTCCATAACTCCAAGCCTTTCCGGGACCCTGACATACCAATTACACACTCCGCAACTCTATATTTTTTGTGGGGAGAGTTTGAAGGTGCTACATCTCAGAAAGTCATAATACCCAAAATTTGGAAGTGTGGAATGTGGTATACAGGGCACCAGAGGTGCAGAAACTATAGAATATGAATTGTTGGGCATCAGCTGGTCGTATCTTAAATAGCATGAAGACCTAGTGAGCTACGACTAGATGTCCACACCTATTTCGCTGAAGTTTTCCAGGTCGCAGTAGCTTAGACTACTGAGAGAGTTGTTTCGCTGAAGTTCCGAGCAGCAACGCTCGTTGGTTGAGAGCCTTGAACAACAGCCGGGCCAACAAAGGGCACAAAGTCGAACGAGTCCCGCATTTTCTTCAGCGAGTTCAGACCCAGTAACCGAGAGCGACTGGCACCATACCAGGATCGGGCACCATACCAGGAACGAGCGGAAGTGCACCCAAAACTTTAAACCCTAAACCCTAAACCCTAAACCTAAACCCTAAACCCTGAGCCCTAAACCCTAAACCCTAAACCCTAAACCCTAAACCCTAAACCCTAAACCCTAAACCCTAAGCCCTAAACCCTAAACCCTAAACCCAAAACCCTCCCCGAACCCCTCAAGGTCGAGATCTGATAACTCGGATCTTTGCTGTGGTACGGCATGGCGAGAGGGCAGGCAGCAAACCCTAAGCCCTAAGCCCTAAGCCCTAAGGCCTAAACCCTAAGCCCTAAGCCCTAAACCCTAAACCCTAAACCCTAAGCCCTCGGCCCTCGGCCCTAGGCCCTAAGCCCTAAGCCCTAAGCCCTAAGCCCTAAGCCCTAAGCCCTAAGCCCTAAGCCCTAAGCTAAACCCTAAACCCTAAACCCTAAACCCTAAACCCTAAACCCTAAACCCTAAACCCTAAACCCTAAACCCTAAACCCTAAACCCTAAACCCCTAACCCCCTAACCCCCTAAACCCCAATCCCTGAAAGGGTAACCCCGCAGCTGTCCAGACCCTAAACCTCCAAACGCTAAAGGGCATGAGTGGCCAGGCTGCTTCGTTTTGGGGTTTGGGGTTTGGGGTTTAGGGTTGAGGGTTGAGGGTTGAGGGTCGAGGGTTGAGGGTTGAGGGTTGAGGGTTGAGGGCTGAGGGTTGAGGGCTGAGGGCTGAGGGTTGAGGGCTGAGGGTTGCGGGCTTCCTAGACAGCACCTGGGAAGCTCCAAGCCATCCAGTGACCACTCGGCATGAAACCCTGACACTCCTGCCCCTGTGCCTGCTGCGTCAATGGGGGAGGCGGGGTAGTTCTGTAAGTTAGGGGGTCCCTTTTTGGGCACCTCAAAGAATGCGGCACCCTTGTAATAAGGACCCCAAAAAGGGACCCGAATTTGGAACAGCTACCAACAGACTTTTTGGCTTCGTCCAACCGAAGGTAGGAACCCTGGAAAAGGTATATGGGAGTCTCAAGGTCTGCCGATTTTGGGCTCGGGGGTCACCACTCAGCCCCAAGCCCCGAGCCCCTAAACCCCCAAACCCCCAAACCCCCAAGCCCCCAAACCCCGAAAAACCCAAACCCCCAAACCACCAAACCTCCAAACCCCCAAACCACCAAGCCCCCCAAAACCCCCAAACCCCCAAACCCCCAGACCCCCGAACCCCCAAACCCCCAACCCCCCTCTCCTTGCATCTCCCTTTCGCAGACGTCCTGGGAAGCCAAAAGGATGGCAAGCCCTGGACGCTGACTGAGGACTGCAGACCGCAGAGCATCTGGCTGCCTGTTTAGGGCATAGGGTTTAGGGTTGAGGGTTTAGGGTTGAGGGCTTAAGGGTTTAGGGTTGAGGGTTGCGGGGCTTAGGGTTTCGGGGTTTAGGGTTTCGGGGTTTAGGGTGGAGGGACTAGCGTAGAGGGTTTAGGGTTTCGGGGTTTAGGGTTTCGGTGTGTATGGGTTTCGGGTTTAGGGCTTCGGCTTCTACAGGGGCTACCAGGGTTTAGGGCTCTAAGAGTTTAGGGGCTCAGGCTTGAGGAGTGGGTTTCGGGGGTGTGAACCCACTCTGCGCTGCCTGTCCTCACCTCGGCCTTTGTGGGTATGAGGTTTCCTCGCTTGCTGCTCGTACTCATGTTGTGCTTGCGTGTCCGAGTTCCGGGAACTACACAGACTTTCCCTACACCCTAAGTCCCCTAAACCTGAACCTAAACCTAAACCCTAAACACGCCCTAAGCCCTAAGCAGGAATTCAGGTCGCACCCTGGTGAAAGGGTGGGATATAGGCCATTTTGGGGCTTAGGTTTTTTCCTGTAGGGTTTATAGGGCTTAGGGTTTAGGGTTTAGGTCTAGGGCTTGGGGAATAAGGACTGTTTACGTTGCTTCTTTGACTCCCCTGGGAGCCACGCGGGTGCCCCTCGCCGCAGGAGTCTATGAGATTCCCGATCGACCCGCCCCTCAGTGATGTGGGCCGTTCTGAGGCCACGCGCTTCTGCTGTTAGGGAGGGGCTCAGCCT